AGCACAGGGAGAGATAACAATAACACAGGGCGAGATAACAATAACACAGGGCGAGATAACCAGAGCACAGGGCGAGATAACAATAACACAGGGCGAGATAACAATAACACAGGGCGAGATAACAATAACACAGGGCGAGATAACCAGAGCACAGGGCGAGATAACCAGAGCACAGGGGAGTATACGGGGAGATAATAGTCAGGAAGTGGGTAAGAGTGTAAGGTAGACAGAGAGATAATGTAATAAACTAAGAAAGGAGAAAACGGTTAAGGGTGGCAGCTTATCTTACAGCGGTTACCTATCAGTACTTACCTATCATACTGCCTACGGGCAGGTAAGGTCTAGCTCTTGATATCCAGCCTTGTTATACCCGTTGCGTGTAGAGGTAACTATTCGGTCGTTCGAATTCTTTGTCTTGTAATGACCCCTTTACCTCCCTCTTCTCACTTCCCTTCAACCTTCCCCTTCACCCTCTCTCTCCCCTCAACCCTCCCTTACCCTCCCCCTCCCCCACCAACATTGCCCCTCAGGTGATCCTGGGAAGCTACCTGTCGACTAATTAAAATCATAACTCCCACCTGTATTACCTGGCTGGCCAGGGGCAGCGCCATTAATAAACCTTAATGGCTGGTCCGGGCTCAATACCCCGGGTGGACGCGCACGCTCAATGGTGCCCAAGGATGCCCACCTCACTCATGAGGCCCTGTTTAATAACACGGCTTTACCCACCAAGTTTATTCATATGGTTTACCCATACGGGTAAACTCAACCAAGGGGCCTGACGGCTGAGTGGACAGAGCTCGGGGTTCGTAGTCCTAAGGTTCTGGGTTCAATCCCCGGCAAGGCGGAAACAAATGGGCTGATTTTCTTTCACCCTGATCCACCTGCTCACCTAGCAGTAAATAGGTCCCTGGGAGTTAGACAGCTGCTACGGGCTGCTTTCTGGGTGTAGCAAAAAGGAGGCCTAGTCGAGGACCGGGCCGCGGGAACACTAAGCCCCGAAATCCTCTCAAGATGACCTCAAGATGATCCAGTTTATCCATAGTTTATCATCTAGTTTACCTATGCGATTTACCCACACGGTTACCCTCATGATTTACCCACACGGTTTATCCATAAGGTTTACCTAACCAGTTGACCCCCCCAGTTTACCAAGCCGATTTATCCAGCCGCGTTATCCATCCGGTTTACGCAGCCTGTGTACTGACCTGGGCTTACCCACGGCCAGGTGTACCTTGACGCCAGGTGGGTGTAGTGCTTCCCGCTGATACAACAGCGGGTGTAACGGGTGTAGGTGTGTATTGCATGCACCGAGAGTAACGGGTCGAGCGGATATAGTGGAGGATACACTGGGTGTAGCGGGTGTAGTGGAGGATACACTGGGTGTAGCGGGTGTAGTGGAGGATACACTGGGTGTAGCGGGTGTAGTGGAGGATACACTGGGTGTAGTGGAGGATACACTGGGTGTAGCGGGTGTAGTGGAGGATACACTGGGTGTAGCGGGTGTAGTGGAGGATACACTGGGTGTAGCGGGTGTAGTGGAGGATACACTGGGTGTAGCGGGTGTAGTGGAGGATACACTGGGTGTAGTGGAGGATACACTGGGTGTAGCGGGTGTAGTGGGATCTCTCACTAACACAAGCCACACCCGGGTGGGTGTACATCTACACTCGCGTCTCTAGCATGGTATTAATGGTTCTTGAGACCAACATTTTCAGAGGACGAACACAGATGTCTCCAGACTCTGGCTGGTCGACCGTCTCCAGACTCTGGCTGGTCGACCGTCTCCAGACTCTGGCTGGTCGACCGTCTCCAGACTCTGGCTGGTCGACCGTCTCCAGACTCTGGCTGGTCGACCGTCTCCAGACTCTGGCTGGTCGACCGTCTCCAGACTCTGGCTGGTCGACCGTCTCCAGACTCTGGCTGGTCGACCGTCTCCAGACTCTGGCTGGTCGACCGTCTCCAGACTCTGGCTGGTCGACCGTCTCCAGACTCTGGCTGGTCGACCGTCTCCAGACTCTGGCTGGTCGACCGTCTCCAGACTCTGGCTGGTCGACCGTCTCCAGACTCTGGCTGGTCGACCGTCTCCAGACTCTGGCTGGTCGACCGTCTCCAGACTCTGGCTGGTCGACCGTCTCCAGACTCTGGCTGGTCGACCGTCTCCAGACTCTGGCTGGTCGACCGTCTCCAGACTCTGGCTGGTCGACCGTCTCCAGACTCTGGCTGGTCGACCGTCTCCAGACTCTGGCTGGTCGACCGTCTCCAGACTCTGGCTGGTCGACCGTCTCCAGACTCTGGCTGGTCGACCGTCTCCAGACTCTGGCTGGTCGACCGTCTCCAGACTCTGGCTGGTCGACCGTCTCCAGACTCTGGCTGGTCGACCGTCTCCAGACTCTGGCTGGTCGACCGTCTCCAGACTCTGGCTGGTCGACCGTCTCCAGACTCTGGCTGGTCGACCGTCTCCAGACTCTGGCTGGTCGACCGTCTCCAGACTCTGGCTGGTCGACCGTCTCCAGACTCTGGCTGGTCGACCGTCTCCAGACTCTGGCTGGTCGACCGTCTCCAGACTCTGGCTGGTCGACCGTCTCCAGACTCTGGCTGGTCGACCGTCTCCAGACTCTGGCTGGTCGACCGTCTCCAGACTCTGGCTGGTCGACCGTCTCCAGACTCTGGCTGGTCGACCACCTCAATTCCTGGAGAGTTGACAGGGTCTCTGTCTTCCCTTTCCTGTTCCCTCCCCCCTCCCCTTTTCTCCCCCCTCCTCTTCCCTCTCCCCCTTCCCTTAACCTCCCCCATTTCCCCTACTCTCCTCCCCTCACCCCTACTGACTTCACACGACGCCATAAAGCCTAAATACTAAAACCAGAAAGTCTCATTTCATTCTGACTTCAACCAGCCTAATTTACTACATTCCCTCTAATGCATGATTTTACTGCCCAACTGCATCATATTAATGAAACTCCCGATAGTTCTCTTAGTCTTATTGCAACCCCCAGTTACCCATTGCAACTCAGATTCCTTATTGCATCTCAATTATGTATTGCAAGCACTTGTCACTACCACCCTAAGGTTGACTTTCTGAAGCGTCTATCACCATGTTCTCACCTTTAATGCTATTGAGACTTTTATGGTTTTTATGACAACCATTTTCTATGTTATCCAGGGCCCAGTAATCCGGACAAAGAATACGAGGACCTGTTTATTTAGACTCGACCCCACACAGGACCAACACCCAGGCAGAGCCGTCACTTTCTGCCAGCACTAGTCGCACTGAAGTCGCTATGTACTAGTCGTTCATAGCACCCAAAGGGTTAACGTGCACCGGAATGGCATACTAGAATGTCCTAGAACGTTCTAAAGTGTCTAAACTGACAAGGAAATGTTTAGTTGTAATTCGTTTTGAGTCATTGACGTGAACCACGGTCGCCACGTGTGTACATTCCCCAACAGGTTCCGTACATCCGGCCCATTGTGGGGAGGCGACGTATCTGGCCTCCACCGCTCGACTGGACACCAAATAGAGACTGCAGGCACATATGATTGACATGACGGGATTGACAGACGGGACACCCGTCTGATTGACATCTTTATCCAAACTTTCTCTCCTCGACTCTTTGTTATCCAGGTTCAGATATCTAGTCGTCGTTATCCAGGTCGCAAGTATTCGAGCCTTGTTATAATGGTTCGAGACGTTACATAAATTTTTTCCTCGTGTTGTCTCACAGGTCAGGATATCCAGTTATCCAGGAGTCACTAACATTATCCTAATAATCTTCCTTACTTTATAACCTTATAACCTTTGAATAAATGGATTTGGTTTACCTAATTTCCCGATCTACTATAGTTATCCAGTCCAGTCCAGTTATCCAGTCGATCCAGTCCAGTTATCCAGTCGATCCAGTCCAGTTATCTAGTTTTCACTATGAATTTTCTACTCGTTTCTTTTTACACTATTAGGTTAAAATTATCCAGTTTCCAGCATCCACTTATCCAGCTATGCATCCATTCTTCATCATCCTGGAAGCAGTTATCCATTTTCGAAAACAATTCATTTTACTAAGCCTCTTCAATCCAAAATCTCATGCCCCAATTTTCATTATTCATGTCATGAATTCAGTCCTCATTATCCAGATCCACGTCTCAAGAGGTCCTGTATTCAGTATTCATCATCCAGTCTCTATTATACACCAACCCGTTCTCAGACCAAGTCCATTCCATCCAGCGGTCGACCCCAAAGACCCCTTCATCATCTTTAACATGCTGTTCATTCAAAACAGGAATTTTCTCAAGTGTTAATTTGAGAAACAGGGGGTTTGGCCGGTGCATGTAATCGACTTTGGCTTTTATTTATGAGAATGGGCTGTATATACTAACATTTTTTCCCAGTCTTCATTATCCAGATTGACGTATCCAGTCTCCGTTATCCAGATCAATCTGTCGAATATTCATATCTAGGAGCATGGAATTGTGAAATCTTAAATAGGTGTTCTTAAGGTGTATGGAATCGTGCATTCTTAAGTTAAGAATGACTTTACCTCAAGATAACCTCAAGATAGATCCATATATCCAGTCATCGTTATGTAGGTCAGAATATCCAAACTTCCTTATCCAGATCCATGTAATCACTCTCCATTATCATGGTCCGTGTATCCACTTTTCATTTTCCAGATTATGAATCTGTATAAGGAATTTAATCAAATCTGGATATGAATCCACACTTTCATAATGGATACTGAAGTCTTCATTATGAGAACTCATAAATCTAGTCAATATCTTCCAGGGTTCACATATCCAGTCATCATTTCTCAGATCCGTGTATCCAGCTTTCATTATCCAGCTCTATATATCCAGATTTCAATTCCTGTGTTAAATAATTAAGGTATTCTTATACAGGTCAAGAAACCAACCATCATTTTCCAGGTCCATATATCCAGCCTCGTTTATCCAGTGTTCATTATCCAGACCAAAAACATGAAGCCGCAATTATCATGGTTCATATATCCAACCCGCATATCCCAGGTCCATATATGCAGACTCCAACATCCAGAGCTATCATCAATTATTTTTCAGACTTGTTCATGTATCCAGCCTTCACTATCCAGAAGTTTTTATCCAAAAACTAAAATATGCAGATTTGTGTATCAGGATTTCATTGTCCAGATCTCTCATATCCTATTCATATTTTTAGCTTTCTGTACCCAGGTTTCTGTATCCAGGTTCCGGAATCTAGGTTTCATAAGCAAGACATGTATCCAGATTTTATCATCAAATCCATGTATCCGGATTTAATAATCTCACTCATATATCCAGGATAATCCATCATCGAGATCCATATAACTAGTCTCATTGCCAGGGCTAATGTATCCAGCCTTAACTTCACAACACACGGATACAAGATTTCAATATCCGGATCCATGTATTCAAAAATCCATAATACAATGTGTCATATTTCAGTTTCACGTTTGGAGCTTCAATGTTGCAGACTCGTGTATCCAAGCATCAATTTATCCAACTTTCATATTGCAGAATCATGTACCCACATTTCACGTATGTAGGGTTCACTGTATTCATTCATGGAGCCAGTTTCATTAAGTATTTATATAGAGGTCATTAATCAGTACAGTGAACCCGGTTTAAACTATCCATCTGCCTATATATAGTCTCTTCGTTAGGATTCGCGTATCATCTCTTTTATCCACCTGGATAATGAATCTGACTTTCAGATTCAGCTGAATGAGACTCCGCTTCCCTACACAGCTTCACTTACCCAGCATTCGTTACTCAGCTCCATATATCAGTTTCTGCTCTACAATACCGTCGTCTTAGATCCTATCATTAAGATTCACGTAACGACTCTTCACTATCCGGAGTCACGTGTTTGCACGTGTCAAGTTGGGTCCTCCAGCTATAGGCCTATCAACTCCAGGTGTATGTGGTGGGGGTGTCGGATAATTCTGAGCCATTGGTATTTGTTTTATAATATGCATCGATAACGCCTCTGCAATGATAGCACAGTTCAGTATAGCAAAAGAAAAGGCCCATGATGTTGAGGATTGCAAGCATTATATGGGACCCAAGATGTTGAGACCATCTGAGTACAAGCTTTAGGTAGGACCCATGATGTTGAGGACTTCTGAGTACAAGGTTTAGGAAGGACCCATGATGTTAAGGACATGTATGATGCTGATATCAGAACGCCGACATCTCAAAGTTATCTGACACCCCCAGCCTACCTAAGCATGCTGATCTTGTCATGTATAGACTCTTCTGAACCACACATTCCGTTTTCTCCTCTGACAAACCTGGACTGAAGGTTCCTTACGCCGTCTCTCTCAAGACTTCCCTATGCAGGGCGGACCAGTCACGTGTGCGGTGGCACAGTCACATGTGTGCGGCACAACCACTCATTTCAACTGCCTTATTATTTATTTTTTTGTTTTTAACCCTAGGAAACTTGTTGACCAAACTTGCACAAACTGCGGAGACTGGTTGACCGATTTTTGTAAGTACACCGAAGACGGGTTGACCGATTTTGTAAGCGCTTCGCAGACGGGTTGACCGAGTTTGTAAGTACAAGAGAGACTCTTAGTCGATATATTTAAGTACATGGAAGACTGTCAAACGGGTCTGGCGAACGCCCCGGGCCCCTCACTGGTCGAGTACCTCCACTCTCCCAGTGGCCAGGTGACTATGTACACATCTCCCAACTGCATCACTCTCTACCTAAAGGACTTGACAAATATATACATATATATATACCTAGACATATCTGCCGATTATGCACTATGTTCTTCATGGATCCTCGTTAACGTAACTCACGTCTCGAGATGAATAACCAGTCATGTATAATGTTTTCGAGATGTCAGAGTAAATGTGTTAATTAGCACAGAATGGTGTGTTGTGTGTGTGTGTGTGTGTGTGTGTGTGTGTGTGTGTGTGTGTGTGTGTGCGTGTGCGTGTGCGTGTGTATGTGTGTGTGTGTGTGTGTGTGTGTGTGTGTGTGTGTGTGTCACAGTGGTTTAAGCGACCATAGTCAAGGCTGTGGGAGTATGCTGTCAGTGTCTAGCTTGCTAATTGGTAAACAAAGGGAATTGTTTAGTGGTTAGTTCATTGTTGTCATTATAGCTGGATGAATGATGAAGGGAAGGGATAATGGGGAACATTTGTTAATGATGATGAGTATACTGTTATAGGGACCGAGAGAGTATACTGTTATAGGGGCCGAGAGAGTATACTGTTATAAGGGCCGAGAGAGTATATTGTTATAGGGGCCGAGAGAGTATATTGTTATAGGGGCCGAGAGAGTATACTGTTATAGGGGCCGAGAGAGTATACTGTTATAGGGGCCGAGAGAGTATACTGCTATAGGGGCCGAGAGAGTATACTGTTAGAGGGGCCGAGAGAGTATACTGTTATAGAGGCCGAGAGAGTATATTGTTATAGGGGCCGAGAGAGTATACTGTTATAGGGGTCGAGAGAGTATACTGTTATAGGGGCCGGGAGAGTATACTGTTATAGGGGCCGGGAGAGTATACTGTTATAGGGGCCGAGAGAGTATATTGTTATAGGGGCCGAGAGAGTATATTGTTATAGGGGCCGAGAGAGTATACTGTTATAGGGGCCGAGAGAGTATATTGTTATAGGAGCCGAGAGTATATTGTTATAGGGGCCGAGAGAGTATACTGTTATAGGGGCCGAGAGAGTATACTGTTATAGGGGCCGAGAGAGTATACTGTTATAGGGGCCGAGAGAGTATACTGTTAGAAGGGGCCGAGAGAGTATACTGTTATAGAGGCCAAGAGAGTATACTGTTATAGGGGCCGAGAGAGTATACTGTTATAGGGGCCGAGAGAGTATGCTGTTATAGGGGCCGAGAGAGTATACTGTTATAGGGGCCGAGAGAGTATACTGTTATAGGGGCCGAGAGAGTATACTGTTATAGGGGCCGAGAGAGTATACTGTTATAGGGGCCGAGAGAGTATACTGTTATAGGGGCCGAGAGTATACTGTTATAGGGGCCGAGAGAGTATACTGTTATAGGGGCCGAGAGTATACTGTTAGAGGAGCCGAGAGAGTATACTGTTATAGGGGCTGAGAGTATACTGTTATAGGGGCCGAGAGAGTATACTGTTAGAGGAGCCGAGAGAGTATACTGTTATAGGGGCTGAGAGAGTATACTGTTATAGGGGCCGAGAGAGTATACTGTTAGAGAAGCCGAGAGAGTATACTGTTATAGGGGCTGAGAGAGTATACTGTTATAGGGGCTGAGAGAGTATACTGTTATAGGGGCTGAGAGAGTATACTGTTATAGGGGCTGAGAGAGTATACTGTTATCGGGGCTGAGAGAGTATACTGTTATAGGGGCTGAGAGAGTATACTGTTATAGGGGCTGAGAGAGTATACTGTTATAGGGGCTGAGAGAGTATACTGTTATAGGGGCTGAGAGAGTATACTGTTATAGGGGCTGAGAGAGTATACTGTTATAGGGGCTGAGAGAGTATACTGTTATAGGGGCTGAGAGAGTATACTGTTATAGGGGCTGAGAGAGTATACTGTTATAGGGGCCGAGAGAGTATACTGTTATAGGGGCCGAGAGAGTATACTGTTATAGGGGCCGAGAGAGTATACTGTTATAGGGGCTGAGAGAGTATATTATTAGTCGCGAGTCGAATATTAGTCATGTCTACATCTGGTCTAAACTCGGATATTTGATGACAGGTGTATTGGTTCATGTGTATCATGACAGGTGTGAGGTATACCTGGCAGATATACCCTGGCAGGTGCGGTATCGCAGGAGAACATGACCTAGAATGACACAGGTGTTTTGATAGGCCAGGCGTCATAGCTGTAACAGGTGTGTATGTACTACCTAAGTTAATTGCATCAGAAGTTGCCACTTGTGTTCTATGGTTGTAAGTCAGGTGTGCAGTCCTCAGTGAAAGAATACCAAGTTTTTCAAGACAGGTGTAGGGTTCCAGCTTAGCAGGTGTTTGAGATGTCGCAGGTTTAGAATCATAGGCCAGATGTGTATATATGTATATTATTTTCATCTGTGCAGCAGATGTTGACCTGACAGCTGGCCCAGGTGTTTAAATGCGAGGGATATTGGCATGCAGTGTGGTGTGGTAGAAGGACTGAGGCAGGTGTATGTGACATGTATACCCAGCGTGGCAGGTGTGTGTGTGTGAGGTATACTAACACGTGGTCTGCTCAACAGCTGTATGGTCTACGACAACTGAAGCAGGGGGAGGAGGCCGGCCAGGCTGGGGCGCCCCTCGCTAACAACTTCCGCCCACCACAGAAGCTGCACCACAGGCCCGTCCGCACCAACATTGACTTTACCAATGCTGTGAGTATCTCCCGCTGTCTCCAGCACTGTCTCACAGTCTCCAGCACTGTCTCGCAGTCCCCAACACTGTCTCGCAGTCCCCAACACTGTCTCACAGTCTCCAACACTGTCTCACAGTCCCCAACACTGTCTCCGACACTGTCTCACAATCCCCAACACTGTCTCACAGTCTCCAACACTGTCTCACAGTCCCCAACACTGTCTCGCAGTCTCCAACACTGTCTCACAGTCTCCAACACTGTCTCCGACACTGTCTCACAATCCCCAACACTGTCTCACAGTCTCCAACACTGTCTCACAGTCCCCAACACTGTCTCGCAGTCTCCAACACTGTCTCACAGTCTCCAACACTGTCTCACAGTCCCCAACACTGTCTCGCAGTCTCCAACACTGTCTCACAGTCCCCAACACTGTCTCACAGTCCCCAACACTGTCTCACAGTCTCCGACACTGTCTCACAGTCCCCAACACTGTCTCACAGTCTCCAACACTGTCTCGCAGTCCCCGACACTGTCTCACAGTCCCCAACACTGTCTCACAGTCCCCAACACTGTCTCACAGTCTCCAACACTGTCTCACAGTCTCCAACACTGTCTCACAGTCTCCGACACTGTCTCACAGTCTCCAACACTGTCTCACAGTCTCCAACACTGTCTCACAGTCACCGACACTGTCTCACAGTCTCCAACACTGTCTCACAGTCCCCAACACTGTCTCGCAGTCTCCAACACTGTCTCACAGTCTCCGACACTGTCTCACAGTCTCCAACACTGTCTCACAGTCTCCGACACTGTCTCACAGTCTCCAACACTGTCTCACAGTCTCCAACACTGTCTCACAGTCTCCAACACTGTCTCACAGTCTCCAACACTGTCTCGCAGTCCCCAACACTGTCTCACAGTCTCCGACACTGTCTCACAGTCTCCGACACTGTCTCACAGTCTCCAACACTGTCTCACAGTCTCCGACACTGTCTCACAGTCCCCAACACTGTCTCACAGTCTCCAACACTGTCTCACAGTCTCCGACACTGTCTCACAGTCTCCAACACTGTCTCACAGTCTCCAACACTGTCTCACAGTCACCGACACTGTCTCACAGTCTCCAACACTGTCTCACAGTCCCCAACACTGTCTCGCAGTCTCCAACACTGTCTCACAGTCTCCAACACTGTCTCACAGTCTCCAACACTGTCTCACAGTCTCCGACACTGTCTCACAGTCTCCAACACTGTCTCACAGTCCCCGACACTCTCTCCAACACTGTCTCACAGTCCCCAACACTGTCTCACAGTCCCCAACACTGTCTCGCAGTCCCCAACACTGTCTCGCAGTCCCCAACACTGTCTCACAGTCTCCAACACTGTCTCACAGTCTCCAACACTGTCTCACAGTCTCCAACACTGTCTCGCAGTCCCCGACACTGTCTCGCAGTCCCCAACACTGTCTCGCAGTCTCCAACACTGTCTCGCAGTCCCCAACACTGTCTCACAGTCCCCGACACTGTCTCACAGTCTCCGACACTGTCTCGCAGTCCCCAACACTGTCTCACAGTCTCCAACACTGTCTCACAGTCTTCGACACTGTCTCACAGTCTCCGGCACTGTCTCGCAGTCTCCAACACTGTCTCACAGTCTCCGACACTGTCTCACAGTCTCCAACACTGTCTCACAGTCTCCAACACTGTCTCACAGTCTCCGACACTGTCTCACAATCTCCAACACTGTCTCACAGTCTCCAACACTGTCTCACAGTCTCCAACACTGTCTCACAGTCTCCAACACTGTCTCACAGTCTCCAACACTGTCTCACAATCTCCAACACTATCTCACAGTCTCCAACACTATCTCACAGTCTCCGACATTATCTCACAGTCTCCAACACTATCTCACAGTCTCCGACATTATCTCACAGTCTCCAACACCGTCTCACAGTCTGACAGTCCGATAGACAGATTTGTAATGTCAATACAAACTTTGTATTTGTGTCACCCAGCGACGCACGGGTGACACCCAGCAACGCACGGGTGTCACCCAGCGACGCACGGGTGTCACCCCATCTCGACACTTGCCAAAACAGGACACATGATCTATACTTCTCCATAACACATAGTGCGGTGTGTCCGACACGGGGATCGAACCCCGTCACCCCTCATGTCACAGGTATCCCTATAACATTGCAGCCAACACTTGTAACATATTACAAGCCTGCATAACACAGTCCCAGTGATATTTCCCCGCCATCGTCCGCAGCCTGCCGTGACACATGTGTTCGTGTGTCCGGGATTGTCTTGTGCTGTGTTTACAGTGTGTGTGTGTGGTCATTGTCGCACATCGGCAACACTGTGTGCCCGCGCGCTGGGTCACGTGGCTTTGTTTACATCAGTCGGGCGGTTGGCGTCCGCCAGCGCGGGAAGTTCAAAACCCGCTCCGCTCCACACATTTTCTGGTCGTCTGACATTTGTAATGTTTTAAAAGTGTCTTTATATTTAATTTACAAAATATAAGAATTTAAATTGTTAAAGTCTTTATATTTTTATATATGGTTTGTCTGATTTTCCTCTAACTGGATCTCTCTTTCTAGCTCACTATCTCGCTCGCTGTCTCTCTCACTCTCGCCCACTCTCTCTCACTCTCGCCCACTCTCTCTCTCACTCTCCAGTACAAAATATAAAAATAAATGACCTAAGAAGGTCATCACCAACCAACAAGACGCCTCCCACAGGAGGGTAGAAATAGCCTAAGCTACCTTTGAGATGTATTTCTTTCTTGTCTCAATAAACATACTTGAACTTGAATGCCTCTCCCTCACCTCTATCTTCTCTCCACAGGGAGGAAACTGCCCCTCCATGCACCGGGAAGCCTATTACAAAGGTCAGTATACCACAACATGTGTAATGCTTGTTTTACTCTCTTGTTGTTGTTGTTGTTGTCTCACCTGTTACAACTACAACCCCCCTCCCCCCCTTTGTTTACATCTCATAGCTGAGTGATGCTCAGAGCTCTGGGAGGTGGGCAGCCAGGTGGCTCCTCGCAGTCTTTATGTTGCCTGTGTGGGGGGGGTGGGTGGTAGGTGTGGTTGTTGGGGGTGGTAGGTGTGGTTGTTGGGGGGTGGTAGGTGTGGTTGTTGGGGGTGGTAGGTGTGGTTGTTGGGGGGTGGTAGGTGTGGTTGTTGGGGGTGGTAGGTGTGGTTGTTGGGGGGTGGTAGGTGTGGTTGTTGGGGGTGGTAGGTGTGGTTGTTGGGGGGTGGTAGGTGTGGTTGTTGGGGGTGGTAGGTGTGGTTGTTGGGGGTGGTAAGTGGTGGATGTGGGTGGTAGTGGGGGGTGATGTTTGTTGGTTGGTAGTGGGTGGTAGGTATGGTTGTTGTTGGAAAATGGTAGTAGTGGGTGGTAGGTATGGTTGATGGTGGGTGATGGTTGTAGGTATGGTTGATGGTGGGTGATGGTGGTAGGTATGGTTGATGGTGGGTGATGGTGGTAGTGGGTGGTAGGTATGGTTGATGGTGGGTGATGGTGGTAGTGGGTGGTAGGTATGGTTGATGGTGGGTGATGGTGGTAGTGGGTGGTAGGTATGGTTGATGGTGGGTGATGGTGGTAGTGGGTGGTAGGAATGGTTGATGGTGGGTGATGGTGGTAGTGGGTGGTAGGTATGGTTGATGGTGGGTGATGGTGGTAGAGGGTGGTAGGTATGGTTGTTATTGGGTGATGGTGGTAGTGGGTGGTAGGTATGGTTGATGGTTAGTAGTGGGTGGTGGCTATGGTTGGTGGTGGTAGTGGGTGGTGGGTATGGTTGATGGTGGTTGCTGTTGGTAGTGGGTGGTGGGTATGGTTGTTGGTGGGTGATGGTGGTAGTGGGTGGTGGGGATGGTTGTTGGTGGGTGATGGTGGTAGTGGTTGGTGGGGATGGTTGTTGGTGGGTGATGGTGATGAATGTCGTGGCGGCAGTGTGGTGCAGGGGTTGTGAGCAGGGAGAGTCCTGCAGGACACGGAGGGTTGTGAGCAGGGAGAGTACTGCAGGACACGGAGGGTTGTGAGCAGGGAGAGTACTGCAGGACACGGAGGGTTGTGAGCAGGGAGAGTACTGCAGGACACGGAGGGTTGTGAGCAGGGAGAGTACTGCAGGACACGGAGGGTTGTGAGCAGGGAGAGTACTGTAGAACACGGAGGGTTGTGAGCAGGGAGAGTACTGCAGGGCACGGAGGGTTGTGAGCAGGGAGAGTACTGCAGGACACGGAGGGTTGTGAGCAGGGAGAGTACTGTAGGACACGGAGGGTTGTGAGCAGGGAGAGTACTGTAGGACACGGAGGGTTGTGAGCAGGGAGAGTACTGTAGGACACGGAGGGTTGTGAGCAGGGAGAGTACTGCAGGACACGGAGGGTTGTGAGCAGGGAGAGTACTGCAGGACACGGAGGGTTGTGAGCAGGGAGAGTACTGCAGGACACGGAGGGTTATGAGCAGGGAGAGTCCTGTAGGACACGGAGGGTTGTGAGCAGGGAGAGTCCTGTAGGACACGGAGGGTTGTGAGCAGGGAGAGTACTGCAGGACACGGAGGGTTGTGAGCAGGGAGAGTACTGTAGGACACGGAGGGTTGTGAACACCGGCGGCTGCGCCACATCACAACAGAGGCCATAACCCTCACCAGTTGTGATGACACCGCCACCATCACACATCATCCCCAACATGTGTGAGCATCACCACCACTGACGGAGAAGTAGGGTAGACGCACACGCAGCTACACCCCATCTACCATCTACCCACACTCAAATATCATAACAACCCCTCCCCCCCCTCGGAGTGGCCACTCAACCAGGATGCACCAACCACAGGGGCCACCCCAAGCTACCACATATTTTGGGGGTCCAATCAAACATTTGGTCTAACCAAACACCTGCAATTCGGTTAGTGATAACGAAATGGTGGACGACGCGGGGTGAGGCTCTAGTGCATGGGCCCTGGCTCGCCCCTCACCACACACCTGCCATGTGCAGTAGCCAAGCAACCATTGCATTGTTGACTGTGCAACAAGGGATATGTTGACCCACCACTGCTCGACTGAAGAAGCAACCTTGCCGTATTGACTATACACCCAAGCTTTCTTGACATTGTAATAGTGCAGTATTGGAATGCAATAGATGCAACCCATGCTTTATAAACGATGCAATAGTGCTTTATTGACAATGCAATAGTGCTTTATTGACAATGCAACAGTGCTTTATTGACAATGCAATAGTGCTTTATTGACAATGCAACAGTGCTTTATTGACAATGCAACAGTGCTTTATTCAAGATGCAACTATGCTTTATTGATCATGCAAGCATACTACCTCACCTACAAGGCATAAACAGTATGGTTAGTACTGTAGTCATTACAACTTTACTAGTAAAAATAATAGTAAAGTTATGTGTGTGTGTGTTCACTCTGGCTTGAGGCGATGCGAAGAACACTAGAGTGAACGATTATTTGCTGCTAACGTTGTTCATATGAGATGAACACCGTGAGGGGAACATAGTGAACACCGTGAGGGGAACATGGTGAACACCGTGAGGGGAACATGGGGAACACCGTGAGGGGAACATGGTGAACACCGTGAACACAGTGAGTACCGGAAGGTGAACATCGTGAAGTGAACAATGAACACCGTGAGATGAAAACAGTGAATATCGTGGGTTAATCACCATGAGACGAACACCAAGTGCTGAGTACTGAACACCGTGTGGTGAACACTGAAGTGAACACCGTGTGGTGAACACTGAGGTGAACACCGTGAGGTGAACACCACCGAGGCCTAAGGCTCCTCACGTTATGAGATTGAAACTTACAATGTCCTGTTATCGTCCTGTGTTCACTTGTTATTTTGTGAATGTTCCTGTTATCATGTGTGTGTTCTGTTGTTCTTGTAACTGTTCTTGCAGTGTCCTGTGTTATCTTGCTATTATAACCGTTCTTGTTATCACAGGTGTTCTGGTTGATGTTATCTCTTATTTTCGTTAGTGTTAGTGTTCTCGCTATAATATATGTAATATTCCCTACTGTTGTTCTCTACTGTTGTTCTCTACTGTTGTTCTCTACTGTTGTTCTCTACTGTTGTTCTCTACTGTTGTTCTCTACTGTTGTTCTCTACTGTTGTTCTCTACTGTTGTTCTTGTTTACAAGCTTCTAGACAGTTTCCTTTCCATATGTGTCCTCGTTTAAAAAAAAAGCTAACCTTATATATATATTATATATATATATATATATATATATATATATATATATATATATATATATATATATATATATATATATATGTCGTACCTAGTAGCCAGAACGCACTTCTCAGCCTACTATGGAAGGCCCGATTTGCCTAATAAGCCAAGTTTTCATGAATTAATATATTTCCTCTAATTTTTTTCTTATGAAATGATAAAGCTACCCATTTCATTATGTATGAGGTCAAATTTTTTTTATTGGAGTTAAAATTAACGTAGATATATGATCGAACCTAACCAACCCTACCTAACCTAACCTAACCTATCTTTATAGGTTAGGTTTGGTTAGGTAGCTGGAAAAGTTAGGTTAGGTTAGGTTAGGTAGGTTAGGTAGTCGAAGAAGAATTAATTCATGAAAACTTGGCTTATTAGGCAAATCGGGCCTTGCATAGTAGGCTGAGAAGTGCGTTCTGGCTACTAGGTACGACATATATATATATATATATATATATATATATATATATATATATATATATATATATATATATATATATATATTGTGTTTTATTAGCACTATTATATTTGATTATTTTTTGATTATCATTTGATTATTTATAATAATAAAAATAATATAGAAATTTTCATTACAATTATTTTAATCACTATTACTAGTAGCAGTGCAACTTTCCGCCCCAGCAAAAGTGGTAATGACAGTAGCAGCAGAATTGCTTTGTATCTTAATTGCATTGCCTTTTTTAACTGATATCCCAGTGAATGTTTTGACCCACGCCTTGCATATTGCAAGCTCTATGCCATGCCATTTTATCACTCTTGCTTCTGCATAATAGGCCTATATAGATCAGGCATCTCTGCTAGTCTATGCTTGTTTGACTTTGAATTGCTATAGAGTATGGTTATTTTAATTTGATTTCTAAAAAGAAAAGAGGGAGGTTTAGGAAAGGGGTATGTAGGGCAGGTGGTGAGAATAGGCCAGTTGTGAGGCCAGGTGTGTGGCCAGGTGTGAGGGTCAGGTGTGAGGGGTTGTAGGTGACTAATACTACCTGATACCTTCAACTTCAGGTATTCTAGGGAACATACCACACACCTGAGACACACATATAACTGAGTTCTCAGTCTAGCTACGGATTGAACCCTAAGAGCCGAGAGGCACCAGAGTGCCATAAAGGGCCACTAGTGCCCCAAGAGTACGGGGTGGGGGACGATGGCTCCAGTCCGGGTATTCTTGGGCACACTCCATGCCAGTACATACCCGCCACAGCGTCACTTGGCTCTGTGGGACTGAGACTTGGGTATGAACTACAGGCCAATGTGGTGAGGGGGAGGGGGGGGGAGGTGGGGGTTGTGATAAGAGACAAGAGGAAGTGTAGTGAAGGTTGTATAGTGCTTGGTATGAGGTTAATGCTAGTTATAATTAGTATGATGAGTTTTAATACTAGTCGTAGTGTGACAGGCATGAATACTAAGTATATGGTTAGTGTGGTGGGGTATACTAGATGATATAGTGTGTTTTGGGGTATACTAGATGATATAGTGTGGTGGGGTATACTAGATGATATAGTGTGGTGGTGGGGTATACTAGATGATATAGTGTGTTTTGGGGTATACTAGATGATATAGTGTGGTGTTGGAGTATACTAGATGATATAGTGTGTTTTGGGGTATACTAGATGATATAGTGTGGTGGGGTATACTAGATGATATAGTGTGGTGGTGGGGTATACTAGATGATATAGTGTGTTTTGGGGTATACTAGATGATAGAGTGTGGTGGTGGAGTATACTAGATGATATAGTGTGTGGTGGTGGGGTATACTAGGTGATATAGTGTGTGGTGGTGGGTGGCGAGTGTCGCTACAGCATGACACTGTACTCACACTACCAACGTTTGTAACTCCTCCACTACAGCCCACAACTTCACTCACGAGCACAGGACGCCCATGACCAGGTCAGTATGTCCTCCCTCTCTCACCCCCAGCCCCAGACCCCCTCCCTCTCTCACCCCCCACGCTGTGTGTGTGTGTGTGTGTGTGTGTGTGTGTGTGTGTGTGAGTGTGTGTGTGAGAAAGCATTTTCGTCCCTGTGTGATCGCCTTTCTCCATGTAAATACCAGCTCATGCCCAAATATAAATAACCGTTCACACACCCATGTGAATACATCAGCTCACACACACAAACCCACGTATTATATACATAATATGTGGGTTTATATATTATATATATAATATATATATATGTATATATATATATATATATATATATATATATATATATATATATATATATATATATATATATATATATATACACCAGCTCACATTCTACATGTATACACCAGTTCACACACCCACATGTATCACATACATATACATGTATACACTCACATATACAAACCCACGTTTATGCTCGTGCATACATGTATAAGCCAGCTCACACACTCACATGTATAACACCACACACACACACACACACACACAATGAATAAGCCAGCTCACAAACCCACATGAATACCACACACACACACACACACACACACACACACACACACTGTATAAGCCAGCTCACACAACCAAACACAAACACGAGACACAAAACAACTATGCAAAACTATGAATCCCAAGATGCGTGCATACATGACTGACTTGTCAGAGACCTCGCTCATGTATGATGACGGAATACTCCCCATCATAAATAGCAACGAGTTACACGTTTACCATATATTATATATTTATACATATAATGAATTAAGTTCATCCATGTTTATTGGGTAAACATTTTAGAGTTATGAAAAACAAATGCTGGACTTTAAATACTATTTACAGTGCTTAAAATGTTTCAACTTTCTGTCCCGAATGATTAACTCGAAATTTCTTCGTCAAATTTGTATTTACTGGAGTCTGACCTACTGAATCAATATATGAAAACCGAGAGAGGCTTCCTCAGCACTATATGCCTATGGTTCAATTTCTGAAGCACTTTTAGAGTGACGAGTGTGTGTGTCTCACTCTAATACTCTAGTGTGAAGTGTGTGTGTGTGAGTGTGAGGTGTAATGTTATCCTCTGCAGTGTTGGGTATCTTCCTTTGGTGTAAGGAGACAGGTATGTGTTGCATAGGCACCCATACACGTTGTGAGCAAACACAGATGTGTAGAGGTGTGTGGCGAGTATGGACAGATGTGTAATAAATAATAATGAATGTGTAATAGGTAAGGAAGGTTAAGTAATGAGTAAAAACAGGTATGTAATGAATACGAACAGATGTGTGTGTGACGAATAAGAACAAGTGTGTGACGAGTAAGAACAGGTGTCTACATAGCGAGTAAGGGTGCGTGGCAGGTGTTTAAAAGCAGGAGAGAGAGAGAAACCGCTACACACCTGGCTTCAAGCATTGATTATAGCGACACCACCACCACCACCACACGGCACAACCCTGAAGACCTCATTATAGGGTTGAAATGGGTGCTTAGGAAGGAGCCGTGTGGAATGTCTTGACCTTTGTGAGTCGGCCTGAAGACCTTAATGTGTGTACGTACTGTGAATGTTGTTGCCTGAGACCTGTAGCCTGGTGCAAGCAGTACTTTGCTGGATCTACACCAGAGAGAAGCTCCACCTGATCTTGGTGGATCTACACCAGAGAGAAGCTCCACCTGATCTTGGTGGATCTACACCAGAGAGAAGCTCCACCTGATCTTGGTGGATCTGAAGCAGAGAGAAGCTCCACCTGATCTTGGTGGATCTGAGCCAGAGAGAAGCTCCACCTGATCTTGGTGGATCTGAGCCAGAGAGAAGCTCCACCTGATCTTGGTGGATCTGAGCCAGAGAGAAGCTCCACCTGATCTTGGTGGATCTGAAGCAGAGAGAAGCTCCACCTGATCTTGGTGGATCTACACCAGAGAGAAGCTCCACCTGATCTTGGTGGATCTGAGCCAGAGAGAAGCTCCACCTGATCTTGGTGGATCTACACCAGAGAGAAGCTCCACCTGATCTTGGTGGATCTACACCAGAGAAAAGCTCCACCTGATCTTGGTGGATCTACACCAGAGAGAAGCTCCACCTGATCTTGGTGGATCTACACCAGAGAGAAGCTCCACCTGATCTTGGTGGATCTACACCAGAGAGAAGCTCCACCTGATCTTGGTGGATCTACACCAGAGAGAAGCTCCACCTGATCTTGGTGGATCTGAGCCAGAGAGAAGCTCCACCTGATCTTGGTGGATCTACACCAGAGAGAAGCTCCACCTGATCTTGGTGGATCTACACCAGAGAGAACAACGTAACTTGATGTAAATAAACAGAAAAAAGTTCATCAAGCCTTCACAGAAATATGCTATATATCCAACTCCTATGATACCAGCATAATAAATCAATATATATATATACATTACAATATATGCGCTGCGTGCACGTGTGTACTCGCACATGTGTCTTCTGGAGAGTCAAGCTCAGGTCTTGGGCCCCGCCTTTCCAACCACTGATCGTCTTATATAAAAATCATTCAGGAGTCGCAATATAACATCTACTTTTGAAATTATAACTGGAATTGTCTTCTGCAACTTGCTTATTTATTCTCATTTTCATATATGTAAATGCTTTCTAACATTTCTGTGCTCATCTGCTCCTCAGTTTCTATTCATGCCTCTGCCCAACCACTTGGGCTGGACAGTAGAGCAACAGTCTCGCTTCATGCAGGTCGGCGTTCAATCCCCGATCGTCCAAGTGGTTGGGCACCATTCCATCCCAAATCCTTATCCTGATCTCTTCTCAGTGCTATATAGTCGTAATGGCTTGGCGCTTTCTCCCTTCCATCCATGCCCTTTTGTTTTTCTGGCATTTGACGTGTACTTTCTGTATTTCCACTATCACACCTCACCAATATTTTGTCTCCATTTATGTTCCCAAGTATCCGTCCTTTTCTCTAGCGATGTTGGGTCTAGTTCTCTCAGTATAACTACGGGCTCGCCATAGCCCGTGCTGCTTGGAACTTCTTGTTCCAGGTAGCGAATCTCAAACATGAACAAAACATCTCTCAGATGTTCTTCATACCCCATCCCTCGTATTTCTGGGACCAGCATCGGTGCAAACTTCTGTACCTTTTGAAGCTTGTGCTTTTTTGAGGCTTCACGGTGGAGCTGCACACGTTAGGATTGGTCTTACGTAGGTAAGGTGACATGAAAACCATCTGTAGTGAGGCTCCTGATAGTTGTTCTGATGTTTGCAAGTATAGAATGCACTGTTGACGTCGTACTTATAGTCACTTATAGACACGTATATTATAGACACGTACTTATAGACACGTATATACGGACAAGATTTGGGTGTTATGTCCACCCAGAAATCCTTTTCTCTTGTTCTTTCGGAGAAGTTATTCCCCATCACTAAGTACCGTCCTGTAGGCCTCATGGACCGTCCTATAGGCCTCGTGGACCGTCCTGTAAGCCTCGTGGACCGTCCTGAAAGCATCATGGACCGTCCTATAGGCCTCGTGGACCGTCCTGTAGGCCTCGTGGACCGTCCTGTAGGCATCATGGACCGTCCTGTAGGCATCATGGACCGTCCTGTAGGCCTCGTGGACCGTCTTGTAGGCATCATGGACCGTCCTATAGGCCTCATGGACCGTCCTATAGGCCTCGTGGACCGTCCCGTAGGCCTCGTGGACCGTCCTATAGGCCTCATGGACCGTCCCGTAGGCCTCGTGGACCGTCCCGTAGGCCTCGTGGACCGTCCTATAGGCCTCATGGACGGTCCCGTAGGCCTCGTGGACCGTCCCGTAGGCCTCGTGGACCGTCCTGTAGGCCTCGTGGACCGTCCTGTAGGCCTCGTGGACCGTCCTGTAGGCCTCATGGACCGTCCTGTAGGCCTCGTGGACCGTCCTGTAGGCCTCGTGGACCGTCCTGTAGGCCTCGTGGACCGTCCTGTAGGCCTCGTGGACCGTCCTGTAGGCCTCGTGGACCGTCCTGTAGGCCTCATGGACCGTCCTGTAGGCCTAATGGAATGTCCTGTAGGCCTAATGGACCGTCCTGTAGGCCTAATGGACCGTCCTGTAAGCCTAATGGACCGTCCTGTAAGCCTAATGGACCGTCCTGTAGGCCTAATGGACCGTCCTGTAGGCCTAATGGAATGTCCTGTAGGCCTAATGGACCGTCCTGTAGGCCTCATGGACCGTCCTGTAGGCCTAATGGACCGTCCTGTAGGCCTAATGGACCGTCCTGTAAGCCTAATGGAATGTCCTGTAGGCCTAATGGACCGTCCTGTAGGCCTCATGGACCGTCCTGTAGGCCTAATGGACCGTCCTGTAGGCCTAATGGACCGTCCTGTAGGCCTAATGGACCGTCCTGTAGGCCTAATGGACCGTCCTGTAAGCCTAATGGACCGTCCTGTAGGCCTAATGGACCGTCCTGTAGGCCTAATGGACCGTCCTGTAGGCCTAATGGACCGTCCTGTAGGCCTAATGGACCGTCCTGTAGGCCTCATGGACCGTCCTGTAGGCCTAATGGACCGTCCTGTAGGCCTAATGGACCGTCCTATAAGCCTAATGGAATGTCCTGTAGGCCTAATGGACCGTCCTGTAGGCCTAATGGACCGTCCTGTAGGCCTAATGGACCGTCCTGTAGGCCTAATAGACCGTCCTGTAAGCCTAATGGACCGTCCTGTAGGCCTAATGGACCGTCCTGTAGGCCTAATGGACCGTCCTGTAAGCCTAATGGACCGTCCTGTAGGCCTCATGGACCGTCCTGTAAGCCTCATGGACCGTCCTGTAAGCCTAATGGACCGTCCTGTAGGCCTCATGGACCGTCCTGTAGGCCTAATGGACCGTCCTGTAGGCCTAATGGACCGTCCTGTAGGCTTTATGCCACATTGACCCATTTTTATCACCTCACACTTGCAAATATTGTCATGCAAGACCCAAACCCTATAGATAGATCACTAACAGAGGAGAACGGCAAGGGT